CCTCCTGTCCCATAACCAGGGTTCCACTCCCCCAGGCTTTGCACTCCCAACCCCACAGAGCTGAGGGGAATCTCCCACCCCACAGTGCCACAAAACCTCCCTTAGAGCATCCCCAGTCACCAACCCGCATCCCAGTTCCATCCCGCACCCTGGCAGGGAGCACCAGCACTGCTGGCACAGACAAACCCCAACAGCTCCTCATCACCACATTAATCCCAGCCCATCCTTCCCACCCTCACCAGTGCTCCCAGTCCCGGGAACACTGGTACTAGCTGGGTTTTGAACCCTCCCTTGCTGGGGGTTAAGGCACAGCCTCGGGGTAACCCCCGTGGTTTGGAGCCTGTCCCTGTCCCTTCCCACTCCATGGCAAAGGGGAGAAATCCCCGGGAGCTCCCACCCTGCGCTGGCACAAAGCACCTCTGGACACAGCCCCCTGCGCAAACACAGCCCCCTTGTTCGGACCATTAGGGCATCCCCTCCGGCCTCGCGAAAATAATTAGTCAGCCTCGTTAGGAGAGCAAACAAAACGGAGATGGGCTGGCAGGGAGGCCTCGCAGCGCTCCTTTCCGGAAGAGTTGGCAGCGCAGAATGGCCAACGCGACCCCGCTGCACGTGAAAAGCGCGGTCCGGGCTGTGCGCCTCCCGTGAGCCCCGCCAGGGCCGGGGGGGCTGCTCAGGGGTCCGGGCAGTGGGACACAATGATGGAATATTCATTCCTCTGCAGCCACCGTGTGCCACAAGTGACCCGGCGGCTCCCAGCCCGCTGCAGGGACCAGGGGGCTCGGTGGGCACAAGGCTGTGCCTTCATTGTGACGGGAAAAGGGGATGGAGGGGCCTGGCAGAGGGAAAGCTGTGTCTGTGTAAAAGGAGGAGGGAAGAGCGGTGAAGGGTCCCTGGGATGAGGCCTGACAGCTCAGCGGCAGTGTGGGCACAGTGCTTGACCGACTGCCGGCCCACAGAGCCCAGAGCATCCCTCCTTACAGCTGGGCTGGTGCCACCACAGCCCCGTGCTCGGGCCACCGTGTGGTCACACTGCCCAGCCCAGCTCCTGACCCTGCTGGGCACCAGAGCACCCCTGGGAGTGACCACAACCCCCCACCCCAGCACATCACAGACCACAGCTGCTTCCTTACTGTCATTAAGCTTTTATTTCCACTGTCACAGAGTTCCTGGGTTTTGTTTTTTGTTTTTTTTTTTTTTTTTTATTAAACTGTTTCATTTGCTTGGTTTGCTCTTGGATTCATCTCAAGACAAGGCAGCGGGGCATGCAAGCCGAGACACCGGCACGGACGCACACACAGGATTCATCTTCACTGACAAGGCTCTCGCTGGAGCTGCTGCTTCCACCCCGGGGCGGGGTCCCCACCCCTGGGACAGGGCTCCCACCCCTGGGACAGGGCACCCACCCCTGGGACAAGGCACCCACCCCTGGGACAAGGCACCCACCCCTGGGACAGGGCACCCAGCCCAGGGACAGGGCTCCCAGCCCAGGACAAGGCACTCAGCCCAGGGCTGGCGGCCACTGGAGCAGAGAGAGAAGGGAAGGACAATTTTCCTGCAGTGCCACGGGAACAGTCAGGGCTGATGTGTGACCCCAAAACTGCTGCACCCCAAACTGTGCACTGAGATCGGGGCTGTCAGCGCCCTCCTTTGTCCCCAGCCAGACCCCTCCCCTCCAGTGCTCTTGGGAAGGACAGGTAACAGATGCTCTCAGTAAATGCCCCAAATCYCCTCCTTTGATTGGGGTCAGTGATCTGGCTGTGTGTCACTGTGCATCTCCTCCCCTCTGACCCACCCCAACCCCAAAAACATGGGAAGGGGGCAGCTCTGCCACTGATTCCAGCTGCCCCCCTGCCATGCCTGGCCCTGCTCAGTGCCAGCCCTGCTCCAGGAGGGGCTCAGACCCCGATCCCAAATCCCATTCCACTCTCTGGGCACTGAGGAGCTGGGATTCCCACAGCCTCAGGCTCCCCATCCAMCAGGAATGGGGTGTCCTGGTGGCACCCACTTCTGTGAAGGAGGGTGAGATGCAGCAGGTACCCACCCCAAATAGGGTCTGGGGTCCCCCATGAGCAAACACCCCCCTCCACCAACCCAGCGGAGAGCGCTCCAGGAACCGGCCTGATCTCGTTATAAATTACATTAATTAACAGCCTGCCCCAGAGGAAAAACCCTTCACTTCTCTCTCTCTCTTGGGTCCTGGTTTGTGCCGTGAGGAGAGCGCGGGGGGAATCTGCCCCCAGAGCTTTCTCCCACGTTCTCACTCCCGGGGGAAGCAGCTCAGCCCAGCCCAGCCCCAGAGCTCGAGGAAAGACAGATACAAAGCAGCAACAGTCAGCACACAGACAGAAAAATGAACAGAAAGGAAAGTACAGACATGGCATTTAATGGGGCAACACCGACAGGGACAGATGACAGGGGGGACATGCCACAGTCACCGGGGCTGGGCCCTCACCTCTGCCTGTGCTCGGGGTCCCTTCCCATGGCCAGAGCTTTGTTGGACAGGCACCAGGAACCCGAGTAGAACAGAGACAGACAGGGCCATTTCATCACCAGCAGGTGTAGAACAGGTTGGAATTCATAGAGCAGGTTGGAATTCATGGCTGGCTGGTGTAAATTCCACCCCAGCATTCCCRGTGTTCCACACGTGCCCGGCGCTCGCTGGGTCCGGTGGCCGCAGTCCTGAGCCGTGTCCAGYGCTCGTGCTTGCCAGGCCACAGCCACCAAAMCGCTTTGCAGAGGGGGGTRGCTCACCCCGGCCRCTTCACTGATRGGGAAACTGAGGCACGAGGAGGTTAAGGCCAACATTTCCAAGCACGAGATGCTCCAAGCCTTATTTTCAGTGGTACCRAGGCGCTGCAGATCCTGGTGGTGTTCAGGAGGAATTGGGGCCCTYGGTGCTCCCCAAAAGGGAGACTCAAAGCATCCAAGCTCAGGTCCCAAATCTGCAGCCAGGGGGGAACATTGGGRTCAAAATGCTTTGCTCAGGGACACTCAGAATGTCAGGAGCCCTGGCAGGGCTGACTCCCAGGGGAGACATCTGCGAGCATTGATGGAGATCAACCCTTGACAGGTCCTCCAAAAATTAAAAGCTTTCCAGGGGAGACGTGTCAGAGCAAATGAGGTTTGGCTTTGCCTGGGAACTCTGTCAAACGTGGCAGGGCCCATCATTCATCAGCAGAGCGATTACAGCAGTGTCACATTCATTGGGGACATCAGTTGGCACCGGGGAGGGACCAGGCTGGCACATGAGCATTCAACGAGTTGGAGGCACTGCAAAAACCTACCCCAGAGAGTTTCATTTGGCCACAGAGCAACAAGGAAAAGGGGGCTCCACGGGAGGGAGTGAGGTTACACCCTCCAGGACCCCCCCACAATGAAACACGGGCACCCTCGGGGCAGGAACTGCAGAAGAGGCAGAAATATTGCACGTGGACGTGAGGTCAGTCTCCTTGGGGAYGGGGAAAGGTGGTTCTTTATGGGCATCGAGAAGTACCACAAGCACAAAATCCCAAAAGTGGGGAGTGGGGCTGCACGGTGATGAACCAGCAGCCCTTGCTGGGTCTGTCCCTGCCATGCTGGGAGAATTCAGGAAATGTCTCCTGCCTCGTGAGGCACCTGTCAGACTGTCCTGCACATCCAGATGTCACTTCCCACTGCCATGGGGACAATCCTCTGGCTATGGGGAGAAAGATGCTGCCACCATCAGCTGGAGCAGCGGTGGAAGGGCAAGCCCCAGGGTGGCCTCAGGGGTCCCAGAGGGTTCCTGCCCTTTGCTCCTGAGGAAATGCTCATCTCCCCTTCCCCAGGGCAGGGCCGAGGCAGACAGAAACAGAGCTGAGGCACCATCCACACGATGCTCACTCCCAGCAGAGATGCCCACGGTGTGGGTGCTGGGGGGCCGAGCTGGGGGCACATCCCAGAGGGGTGGTGGGTGTTTTTGGAGCGTGCAGAGCCCGTGCAGACCACGCTCATGACTGGGGGTAGCCCCCAGCGTCCCCAGCTGTGCATTCCCAGCTCTTTGCCTCCTCCGAGGCGGCTCCGCTTGGGGCCATGCCTTGGGTTCACAGCAAAACCTCCCTGCAGGAGGGAGGGGACAAGGGGACACCCTGAGCYGTGCACAGCCCAGCCTGGCACTGCCCTGTCACCTTGTCCCAGCTGGGATGGRGGACCGGGCAAGACAGAGCAAGGCTCCCCCTCTGCTCTGCCCACAGGACAATCCACAGCCACCACAAACACCTCTCCACTCTTGGCAAAGCAGAAAAGAGCAAAGGAATCTGCTCAAAAGCAAAACCCAGCTCTGGGCTCTATTAATACTTTTTCATGCAGTGAGAAAATGAATTAAAAAAAAAGGAAATGGGGACGGTTCTGGTGGCCAGCGGTTTCCTCGCCCTGCCCGACTCAGGGATGGAGCTCGGTGTGCTCAGAGTCTGGGCTGAGTGAGCCCTCACTGAGCTGCCACAGGGCAGGGTGAACAGAAAAATGCAGGGAGCAYGGGAACGAGAAGAGGAAAAGAAGCTACAGCATCCCCTCCAAACAGCAGCCAGCCCACGGAGCTTGGGATTCGAGGGGTGGGAGGAGAGGGGGGAAGGCAGATTTTTGGCTTCATTGTTATTGCAGGCTCCCGGGTCCCCGCAATAGTGTACGAGCATGTAAACCTTACAAATCCTCACCTGGGTGGGTGGACACACACACGAGAGACGAAACACAGCAGCAACATTTACAACAAATAAATAAGGATATCGATCGTCGAGATAGGCATATAAAAAAAAAAAA